GCTAGTTGGAGCAGAAGAGGGAGAGCATTTTGGACATGGGGGGCAGCCAGAGAAAATGCCTGGGGCTGACAGGGATGCAACATTTTGTTTGTGAAAGAACTAGGAAGTCAGTGTCGCTGGATGGAAGAATTTGTGTTGGGGAGTAAGGTGTAAGAGGGGCCTAGGTTATGAAGGGCTTTGAATGCTAAACAGAACATTCTGCATTTGCTTTTGGGGGCAATAGGAAGCCACTGGAGTTTAAGTAGGGGAGAGACATGATTAGATCTGGGTTTTAGTAAAATTACTTTAGTGGCTGAATAGGGGATAGATTGGAGTGGGAAGAGACTGGAGGCAGGCAGACTATTGCAATAATCAAGGCATGAGGTAATGAGGGCCTGAACTAGGGTGGTGGCAGTATCAGAAGATAGAAAGGGGCATAGTCAAGAAATGTTGCAAAGTGGGGTGGGCTCAGAGATAGTAAGGAATCCTAGATGACATCCTGGATGAGCCTGAAGGATGGGAAGGATAGTGTTGCCTCTAAAGTAATAGGGAAGGTAGGAAGGAGGGAATGTTTAGGGGAAAAGATGAGCTCTGTTTTGGACATATTGAGTTAAATATGTCTACTGGACCTATTTTTTAACCAATACCAGATGATTTTGATGACCACTGCTTTTTAATATAGTTTGAGATTTGAAAGTGCTATTTGTCCTTTGCCCTGTCAGTCCACAAGAAACCCTGAAACCTAAACAGGTTTGTAGAAAGGATTTTTTGAAGTCGGTTTGGCAGAGAGGAGAGCCAGAAACAGAAAGGTGTGTGTGTGTGTGTGTGTGCTAAAACATAGGATCCAACACATGGGTCTGCCCAAAACAAGACCTGGGTGGGGTTCAAGTATTCCTTACAGTGATCTCTCTGCTCCCTTGGAGGGTCTCTTTAGATATCATGACTCCTACCTAACAGTCTGGGTCAAATAATATTAGCCACATAAATCTAGGTTCAAATCATGTTAACACATAATAAAGCGTTTTCTTCATCGCCCCTACCTCTTTTTATTATTTCCCTTGATGTTCTAGATCTTTTGGATTTATCAAATGAATTTTGTGATTATTTCATCAAGTTCTAAAAAGTACCTCAGATAATTTGATTAGTATAGCATTAAGTATATTAATTGCCTTTGGTATTATTGTTACTTTTATTTCATTGGCATGGCTCAGTGATGAACACTGGATTTTTCTTCAGCTATTTAATTTGTTCTAAATTGCTTTAAGTAGCACTTTGTAATTGAATCGATAGAAGTCTTTTCTGTTTTTTGGTAGATTGATTCTCAGATATTTTATGCACTTTATAATTATTTGGAATGGAATTTCTTTATTATTCTTAAATTGTTATTATACAGAAATGCAGTTAATTTGGGGGGGTTGTATTCTGCAAGTTTGCTGGAGCTATTAATTATTTTTTGCTAATTCTCTAGGATTTTCCAAGTAAATTATCAAATGATCAGCAAATAAGTAGTTTTATCTCCTCTTGAACAATCTTTACACCTTTATTCATTTTTTTTTTTGGTTTTACTGCTATTGATAGCATTTGCAGAACTATATCAGATAATAGTGGGAAGAGTAGACATTCTTGATTTATTTCTACATTTTTTTGGGAAAAAGTTCTATGTTTCCCCTTTGTATAAGAAACTTGCTTTTGGTTTTAGTTATGTATTTTTTTTTTAATAAAAAGAGATCCCACTATGCCTATGCTTTCTTTTTTTTTTAAGTATAAATGAGTGTTGGGTTTTTTAAAGGCTTTTTCTACATCTATTGAGATATTACGTGGCTTTGGTTGTTTTTCTTTTTAATATGATTGTGTTGTTTTCCTTATATCCCTAGTAAAAATCCAACTTGGTCATAATGAATGATTTCTTGGATAAATTGTTATAGCCTTAGAGGATTTTATTTAAAAGTTTTTTTTTTTAATCTGTATTAATGATATTGGTCTATAATTCTCTATTTTATCCTTTCATGGTTTAGATATTTGTCTCATATATTTGTCTTCTAAAAAGATTCTGGTAGGGTGCTTTCTTTCTCTATTTTTGGAGAGTATTTTGTGTAATATGGGTCTCAATTGTTCTTTAAAAGTTTGATAGAATTTTCCAGTGAATCCATACATACTAGGATGTTTTTTTCCACTTTGATAATTATTTTACGAGTTCATTTTCCTTCTCTGATATTCGATCATTTAAGATCTCTATTTGGTTTTCTGTTAGTATGAACAGTTTTTACATTTCAAAGGTATTCCTGTTGTGTTCTCAGTTTTATTAACATACAACTCCTTGGTAAGTTCCAAACGTTTTTTAAAAAAATTCTTCTGGGGGCAGCTAGGTGGTGCAGTGGATACAGCACTGCCCCTGGAGTCAGGAGGACCTGAGTTCAAATGCGAAGGTCAGACACTTGATCCTTTACTAGCTGTGTGACCCTCAGCAAGTCACTTAACCCCAATTGCCTCACAAAACAAACAAATAAAATTTCTTATGGTTTGCTGTGATTTCCCCTTCCTCATTTGTAATTTTGTAGATTTGATTTTCTGCCCTCTTTTTAATCATATTGGGTTAAGGTTTATCAATTTTATTAGTCTTTTCAAAAACCAGCTTCATGTCTAGGGTTTTTTTTTGTTTCCTGTGTATTTCTCCTCTAATTTTCAATATCTCCTCTTGAGATTTGTTTATTTGTTGGCTTTATAAATTTTAAACACATTTAAATCCTCTTTTTCTATTTTGTTTATATTATGTTCAATAGGATATGACTTTTCCCCTGAGGACTGCTTTAGGTGCATCTCAGAAATTTTGGTATGTTGTTTCATCATTATCATGTTTTTCATATAATTATTGTTGCTAAGATTTGTTCTTTGACCCCTGATAATAGTGATTACCTCTCTTTTCTCACATGACCAGCTAACCTTATTTTTCAGCAATACATTCCATAGATAAGATCCTTTACTATAATGAATGAGTAAAATAATTGGAAGAAGGTTCCATGTTCATGCTTGAAATGTGTCAATATAATTAAAATGATACTAGCCAAATTAATTTTGAGACGTCCTTCTATACCAATCAAATGGCAAAGGACATAAATTATAGAACTAGATAAAATAACAAAATTCATTTGGAAGATCAAAAAGTCTATAATCTCAAAGGAAACAATGGGGAAAAAAGCAAGAATGAAAGGATAATAGCATTCCAGGTCTCAAGTTTTATTATAAAACAAAAGTATTTGGTATACTTCAAACAATGGACATTTAAGATTGGTGGGAAAAACTAGATAAGGAAAAGTGAGAAACAATTGCACTGAATTGTTACAGTGTTTGATAGATGCAAGAACACAAATTCATAAGATCAATAATTTTGACCTGAAATGTGCTTTACAGGTCATCAAGTCAATATCATCCTTATGGGTGACAAACTAGTTTTAATTCCTGGGCAGCTCTGGGGTTCTAAAACTTGAAGCCAAACCACATCACTAGTAGAATAGGAATTTAAAAGACAGTCCTTCATTTCAAGAAGTTTAGGATCATTAAAGATGCCCAGAAGGCAACTAGGTGGCTCAGTGGTTGGACCACTGGGCCTGGAGTCAGGAAGACCCGAGTTCAAATTGGGCCTCAGACACTTACTAGCTGTGTGACTCTTGAGCACACAGTGCCCAGTCACTTATCCTGTTTGCCTCAATCCACTGGAGAAGGAAATGGCAAACCATTCCAGTATCTTTGCCAAGAAAACCCTGTATGGTCCACAAGGTCACAAGAATTCAGAAACGACTGACCAACAAAAAAAGAAGCCCAGCAAATTTCC